GTGCTTAAACTGTATTGCACTCCTCCCCTCATGTTGGAAATCTCATTGGGTAGATGGGGAGATAACCACAGAAAAATCTGCAAAGAGCAGGAAAAAATGTAATGCAGAAACCTTCCTTCCCATTTTTCACTTTCACCAGCATCAGACTGATACCTCTAAAATAGCTAAAAATCCTCTGTTTATGTGAAACCTCACTGCCAGGAACTAGGCATTTGTTCTGCAACACTGATCTTTCTTGCAAAATATACTGTGCTCCCTGCTCAAACCTTGAAGTTACCTCCAAAAATACTCTCTCAAACAGTGTTTCTGGCAGAGTGGAGACTGGTGAAGCAGCTACAGATAGAACAACCTTCACCAAGAGAGCAAAACCACCTTCTTCCTCACAAGAAGGAAAATCCAAGCCATTGACAAGAGAATTTTTGTGACTTTACTGCAGCAGTCTGAGAATTTCCTGCTCATTCGATAGGGAACATTTACACAATTCCAGACCAGTGACACAGAGAGAATGTGCTGTGGAGAGGGCTGCTCTGTTGCAAAATATGCAGAGAGAGAAAGGGAGCAAGTCAGCAAGAGGGTGGGGACATCAAAGGAGCAAGATCTGCTGATGAGTTCCTTCTGTGCAATAACGTTTGCTCTAAGAAGGCAGATGAACACATGGTCCAACATGGACTCTAATGATTAATACTGTACTTTCTCATATCAAAATAGAAATCTCATTTTGCTTGGACAAAACTACATTTTCCAGTGCACATAGATGGGGAGACATCTGGAGAAAAAAATGGGTGAGTCCTTTTATATCTGTGGGTTCTGCTCCCACCTTCCCTGTACAGGAAACTTGTGCCATTGCTGTGGTATGGTGCAGCTCTAAGAAAGGCAAGGTTTGCATGAGGGGGAGCCTACTTCTCCCTACTTAACATGGGTCTCCTCTCAGGTCACCACAGCATGTGAGAAGTTTGGTTTGTATGTAGAAAATCTGTGGTGGGTGATCGTAGAGTAATCAATGTGACTTTGACTTCACTAAACTGTTTGGAGCTTTCTATGTCAAAGTAAGACAATACTTCACAGTACCAATGTGTGCTGTGTTGTTTGATGAAGAGTGAGTGGTTTGGGAGTAAGAAGAGTGTCTGGGGTTTGAAAGTTCCTCTGGTGGTTCTTCTTTTGGAAATTAATTGCCTCGGGTAGCCATCTGCTCTACTGTAGGAAGCCACATGGCATCCCTGCTGACTGGTAATCAAGCCAGTGTTATTCTAATCCACCAGAAAGGTGTAAGGGAAGACACAAAGAGTGGTGAGTCTAACCTCAGTTTCTAGAAAAATTCTAGAGAAGGTCCTGTTGCAGCTGGAATTGCTGCTAATAAAGTCCAGGGTAAAGAAGCAGAAAGGGCTTTTGCATGGTATCCAGAGATGTTCAACTCCCAGGCACACACACACATGGAGGGTCCAGGCTTTTTCTCTCCCAAGGCGCTGGGGCTGTCCCTGGTCTCGGGGTAGTACAAAGATAAGGTCCAGTCAGGGAATAGGGAGGGAGTGGCTCAGGGACACCGGAACTGACATAGGAACAGGGGAAGGAGCCAATAGGGTTTTATTGGCTTTTGGAGGAAAGCTTCTTGTGTCTCCCCAATTCAGGGGATGCCCCCAGGTCTCCACATGGTCCTACTGAATACTACTGAAAAGCATTTGAAGAATAATGCCATCTTCAACATTGGTTTGCAGAGAAAAAGTCCTCTCTAACCAGTTTGATTTCTTTCTAGGATGAGGTCACAACCCAAGTTGATAAAGAGAAGGTGATGCATGCCGTTTTCCTGGCTTTTAGTGCGGCTTTTGATACTGTCCCTCACAGCATCCTTCTGGACAGCTGTCCAGCTGTGTGAGGGCCAAGTTGATGGTGTGCAGTGTGAAGAGTCGGCTGGATGGCAGGGCTTGAATGGTTGTAGTGAATGGCACTGGTGAATGGTCACTGCTGGTGTTCTTGGGGCTTAACACTGGGGCCAGTACTGTTCAGTATTTTTATCCATGATCCAGATGCAGGAATTGAATATCCCATTAGCAAACTTGCTGACAAGTTTGGGAGGTGCCACTGACTTTCCTGAGGAACAAGGAAATTTTTGATTAATTGGAGCATTGGGTTATCTCAGGCATGAAATGGAAGTAGTCCAGGTACTATTTTCTGTGGCTGGGAGAGAGTAACACTGAATACAAGTCTAAACTGGGAGAGAAGTGGCTGAAGAGCAGAAAGGAACCTGGGGGTGCAGATTGGCCACAAGCTCAAGAGGAGTGAGCAGTGTTCCCAGGCAGCTGAGAGGGCAAATTGCATGCTGGAGACATCACACATAGAATGACCAGCAGGTCCAGAGAGGGGATTATCCCATAGTAGTCAGCATTGCTCAGCCTCACATGGAACACTGTGTGCAGGTCCTAAAGTGGGTCTCAGATTCAGTCAAAGAGAGAAACGGAGAGCTTCTAGCAAGGTAGAAGCTTGGGAAAGAGCTGGAGAAGAATGTAAATAATTCTTTATCTCTCCTGTTATTCACATTGTTTATAGTTAAGTTCTATCGCTGTGCGTCAAGCACTTTGCACCAATTGTTGTGGGTTGTTTTCACTTCAGGACCAATGGAGTTGGTCCTCACGAAGCTCTGTATAAAAGAGCAATGTATTTTGAATAAATCAGAGTTTTACTCTCAGTAGCTTTCTGAGTCAGAGTCTTCTCATTCCCATCCTGCCTCGACAGTGACACCCTAACATTGAAAAAGGATGTGAAGGTCCTCAAACATGTCCAGAGGAGGGGAATGGAGGGTGAACTTTCTGGTGAAGAGCTGGAAGGCATGTCCTACAAGGAGCAGCTGAGTGCTGTGGACTTGTCTCCTTCAGAGAAATGGAGGCTGGGAAGCATTGCTTTTGGCAGCTTCCTCAGGAGAGAATGTGGAGAGGGAGGCGATGGACTGTTCTCTCTGAGATCCAGGGGCAGCACAACTGGGAATGGTCCAAAGTTGTGCCAGAGGATGATCAGACTGGACATTAGGAAGTCCTAATGACCAAGCAACAGAATGAGGAGTAATGGCCTGAAACTAAAGCACAAAAAAGTTCCTCCTCAACATGAAGTAGCATTTCCTTACATTGAGGGTAGCACAGGACTGGAATAGCTGCCCAGGCAGGTCATGGAGCCTCCCTCTGGAGACATTCAAACCCACCTAGGTGTGTTCCAATGTCACCTGTTCTGGGTCATTTGTTCAACTCTTTATATGGAAGTCTATAAATTATATGAGTTTATTGTGGGACACAAGGGGACTGAATTCATAGTTTCTAAACCTAGTGTCAGGTTCAGGTGGCACAAGCTCAATGAACTGAAAGAATCTTGCAGGTTTTTTTCTCACATGTAGCTGTGAAAAGCAGGACTGGCAATGAAAGGGAGTAAGACAGGCAAACTTTTCACACAGTCTGGTGTGTATTGTCTCTATCAACAAATAAAAATGGGGTAATGGTAATAGTAAGGAGTGGAATGCTTGGTCAAGCATCAGTTCTTTGATCCATGGAATGCATGGATCAAAATCCATGGAATGCTGTTTTCTGACCTAAAAGTTGGAATGACCACAGCAGCACTGCAAGGTTCCTGCAGCAAATACACATCATCTTTGCCAGTGGCCTTTGTGCAGGCTTAGAGTGACCTGGCTGGGCCACCTGAGGTGTGTCTGCTGTTCTGAACCTCATGAAGGCATTAGTATCTATGCAAACAAACCTTGTCTCAGAATAGATGTTGATCTCCACCTTCTGTGCACAACCTTGCAATCTTGTACCACAAAGACATTCCTCTTTAAGGTAATGTCTTCAGTTCATTATAGGCATTTATCTGGGTCTAAGTGGAAGATACTAGGTGGGTAATTTATAGAGAACATAGTCTCATTTGTGAGGGTTTCTTTTATTTAAATTTAGGATTAAAAATGGACTAGCCCTTATTTAACTTGCAACACAAAAGAAGGTTTTCCAGCACTTGCTGATGTGCTAAGGTGACTTTGTTCTTCTTTGGTTTCATTTAGGTTTGTATTACCTTTGCAAATTCCTGGGAATAAGAATAATTTTCAGACCTTCCATGTGTCAAGGCACAGTGACAGAAGGAAAATGGCACCTGCATAGCCAAGCAATAATCTTCCTCATTATGCTAACTGTTGGGTGGTTGGTGCCTTCTAGCACTCTAGAGGGGACTGATTTACCAGTGTAGCCTCCTTGTTCTTCTGTTCTGAGGAATATGGAAATAACAGTAAAAATTAAACAGATAAAGCACAGTAGACTGTCCAGGCCTTTCAGCCAATTGGTAATGGAGGAGAATTGGTTCTTTATTTATTTCTTTGGAGTATGTTTGATTTCAGTCTTAGTATTTATGAAGACAGATCATCAGGATAATCCCATCAGTGGAGTTTGACAAGAGATACTACTTGAAAGTCCTGTTGTGTTTCAAAGAAAAGTCAGTAAATAAAGTCTTATCCTCAGACTCCATGTAAGGCAAGAGGATAATGTTCCTTTCTACAGAAACAGCCAGTGCCACTTGCTTTCAAGGGGAAATTTGTTGTGGTAGAGACCTGTCCACTTTGGAGGTACATCAGAAATGTTGTTTGCTGCTTGGTTTTGATTGGAAGAGTTTGTGTATGGGAAAGGGGTTTGTTGCCAGGTGATAAAAATTAATTCCATTCCAAAGTGGTCAAACTTTGAACAAGCCTGGGTGGCTGTGGAGCCCATTCTGGCTGCCTGGGCCAACATAAACCACTCCTCAGTGCAGGTTGGGTGCTATAGCAGCCAGAGCTTCTCTAGAGGCACCAAAGCAGTAGTGACAAGACCCTGGCAGCCCTTTATATACCGTTCCCCAAGGGCTGCTCCTTGCAGATGGTCAGAGTATGGTCATTAATCAACTTTAAATAAACCTTCGTAAGCAGGCTCCAGGGAAGTGACCTAAAGATGAAGGCAAGATGTGCCACAGCTTATGCTTTCCTGCTTGTACTTCTCCTTGCCCAGTGTAGGCAACATTGTGCCTGGAGGACTAAGCAGCTGTGCTGACCATGAGTGAGCAGAGCCACGTCAACAGCCTGTTTCTCAACGAGGATGCAGCCAAGCGGCTTCATGCCGACAGCCGCGTGCAGCGGTTCCGGCAGGCTGTGCACAAGCGGGCGGCGCGGGCCAAGAAACGCATGCATAGCATCACTGCTGAGAGCACTAAAAGCTTCTTCAGGAGAAATGCCTTCGTCCTCTTCACCATTGCTGCGGTCCTACTAGGTATGGAGCTGGTGGCAGCACCAGGCACCCTTTATAAATATGGGGAAATGTTTCTTTATTTTGCAAAGATTTTTATATTATCATAGCAATTTGACTGAAGAGTTGAAGCTGATGAGCTGGCAGCTCAGAGTGCTGCCCACATCATAAGTACTTTTGTGTGCAAGAACAAGAGACCCAACAGAGAGTGTTTATGTGGGAGGGAGTCCTTGTTGATCCTTTCTAGTGCAGTATAGAAACAGTCTACAATAGAAAGAGTTTGATGGTCCAACTCAACCAATCCTTGTACAAGTCATCTAGGTTTCTTCAGAGGTATCTTGTGAGTGCAGCTGTAGGCACAAGGGCTTTTCAGATTCGTCCCACAGCTTTAGCCTGACAGGACCAGAAATGCTGCAAATGGCCTTGATACAATGCAAATAAAATCTGCTTATCAGATAGCAGGTTGTCCATAGCTTTTGATCCAGACTACATGACTCTAACTAGCTGAACTCAACTTTAAGAAGTGGGTAGACAAAGAATCTGAACTGTGTAGTCACGCTTATTTTAGTCTATGAGATCATATCCCTCATCACAGCATTTTGTATTCATGTGCTTCCTGGGAACAGACTCCAGAAGATCAATAGACAGGGAACAAGGAGACCTATGGTTTTGCACAAGACTCCTCTATACATCAATATATCAGAAGGGGAGAGAGCATACCATAAAAACTGGATCATAGCCTTTTAGAAAATGAGCATTTGTTCCTTTGAAAATAAGAGGAACTGAGAGTAAATGAGAAGGAGAAAAATCACATTGTAGGCTGAGACACAGACCACTGGATCACACTGTCCCATTTCTGTTCTCATCCCTTGCTGATCCACAGGGATTATCCTGGCCTTCTCACTCCGGCCCTACCAGCTGACCTATCGCCAGATCAAGTATTTCTCCTTCCCTGGTGAGCTGCTGATGCGTATGCTCCAGATGTTGGTTCTTCCTCTCATTGTCTCTAGCTTGATTACAGGTGAGAAGTACTTTCTGCTGCTTTCAGCCAAGACAGTGGTCAGCAAAGCTGTTGTTCGGGTACATCTTCATGACCCAGCTGGAGGTACTTGGATTAGCTTGGCTAGTAGTAACAAGGCTGCATCTACGGCCATAGGGAACATGATCCACACTGACACCCTTGCTGGCTTAGTAACAATGCAGAGAAGCAGAAGACCTTGTGCTTTCTCAGAAGACTGGGGAGAACACAATGCAGTGGTTCCAATGCCCAGCACTAAAAAGGATTTAATCCTCAATTGTCTTCAAGTTTGCTACCCAAATAAATTTCAGGTTTTCTCCAGCCTATAGAAGGTTAGTCCAAAAGGGTTGAAGTTGATCACCGGCTGGAGGGCTTGTTTCACCCAGATCCTCAAGTAAGACATGATAGACAGACAAGTTTTCAGACAGCAGTAGGGACTGCAAGGTGTTCCACCTGCTGAAATATCCCACCATTAGAGACTGAAAGGCCCAATGTACTAGGAGGTGATTATTTCCCTTCTGAGAGCTTTAGAAGAAAATTGCTACATTCCCAAATGCAGACTAAGATCCACCAGTTCTATGCTTCTTCATGCCCACAAGCCACATTCTTCCATATCAACATCACCCTGGAACTCCAAATTCTGTTCCTTGTAGGCTGTGCTTCCTAGAGACCCTAGCTCCCTGTCCAACTCATGAATGAGCCCTGCACCCTTTGAATCTTCCTCAAGCTTTCCCTTTCTCTCTAAGATGATAGGCTTCCTCACATTGTCTCTCTGTGTGACATCCCAGGAATGGCCTCACTGGATAGCAGAGTCTCTGGGAAGATGGGGATGCGGGCTATCATCTACTATATGGTGACCACAATCATAGCTGTCTTCATCGGCATCTTCATGGTGATCATCATACATCCAGGAAAAGGATCTAAGGACAACCTTCACAGAGAAGGCAGAATTGAGCAGGTGCAGACCACTGATGCCTTCATGGACTTGGTGAGGTAGGTTATCAAGATGACCTCATGTTGAGACCGTATCAGTGAGATTACATTCCTCCATGGAGCATCCTTTTGAAGTATCACAGCTTTAGACATACAGTCTTAGGGAAAGAGGTTAATGGCTGAGTCTTGGCAAGTGTACTACTTCTAGCTTAGTCTAGCTAACTGGCTTTGCCACTCTGATTGAGTGCTTAGCCTGGAGTCCAGCCCTTCCCCAGAGGTATTAATGTAAGAGGTCATGGTGTGCTCAACAAAGCAAGTAATGAAAACCATCAGTGGGCTACCTACCTTTCAGAAATTCACCTGGCAAAGGCTATTCCAAATATCCATCTTCAAGGACAAAAGGAAATCAAGGAAGTGGGTCCCAAGACATTGCCTTGACCTTACTCAGTGAATTGCAAAGCTGTACCATCTCAAGTGGTATAAAGCCATGTTTTTGAGGTACAGGATAACAGAGAGCTCACATGACACCTGTAGAGGTGAGGCTAAGAGCAAGGCAGGGTATTAATCATTGTAGTGTGGTATTGTTTCAAGGTTTGGTTGGGTTTGATGATGGTTTTACAATGTACCTATACCCCAGGGCAGTATGTGTGTCAGCTCTTTTCACATACCTGAATAATCTTCCGGAGTCTGAAAACATGTAGTGGAAGTTTGACAAGTTGCAAGAGGTGCTGGGTCCAGATCAGCATATTCCCTTCTGTCAGTCAGACCAAAGGGGCTTAAGTGGACATTGTGAAAGTTGTGACCTCAGGCACTGCTCCAGGACAAAGAAGTTGGCCAAGAAGCCCATGTTTTCTTCCTAGTTCAACAGGACAATAACTCTTTCTTTGTTTTATCTACTGCAGGAATATGTTCCCACCCAACCTGGTAGAAGCCTGCTTCAAACAGGTATGAAATCTCATCTTTGCACCTTGTGCCCTGGACCATGGTCCTATCTATTTCTCTGAGGGATGGAATAGCACTTTATTCCTGAGGTCTGACTGCTGCAGGAGGCACTGCAGATGTTAGTCTATATTATAGCATCCCCCATGCAAGCTTTTCAAACTGTCTTTACATGGGGGCTTCAACCTCCCTTCCATCCCACAGAGGCAGGAAGGGTTTTGCATGATCTTGGGTAGCAGGCTTGGACTGGCAGTGATATGGAATAGAATCTCCAAGAATCTGTCTCTTCTGCAGTGTTAGTGCCCTTAGAAGTAGCACAAAGTGTTATCAGAGAAGCCAGAATATCTCAGTCCTAGCAACATGAGATGCTCTAATGGTCTCATTTGACCTTCTGCTCTATGAACTTTCTGACCTTTCTGGTGAAAGCACTAAACTGGGGACCTTGAGAACAGGCAGAGCATATAAGAGCCTACCATGTGTCCTGATCATCTGGACTGGGGCCTGTGAGTGCATTTGATAATCTGTGTCTTTTCAGTACAAGACTCAGTACAGCACCAGGGTCTTCACCAGAACCATCCTCCACAGCAGCAATGCCACAGCAGGTGTGGCAACCACTCAGATCCCTGTGCCTGAGAATTTCACCAGCATCATGGAGAATGTCACTCATGCCCTGGGAACCATCTCCGAGGTGCTGACCTTTGAAGAAGTCATTCCCATCCCAGGCTCAGCCAATGGGGTGAACGCGCTGGGGCTGGTAGTGTTCTCCATGTGCTTCGGTTTGATGATCGGCAGCATGAAGCAGAAGGGACGGGCCCTGCGGGAGTTCTTTAACTGCCTCAACGAAGCCATCATGAGGCTGGTGGCCATTATCATCTGGTGAGGAGCACAGCCGGTTGGAGCAGGAGGTCTGCAGGTGCAGTTTCCATTGACACAATGAGAAGTGGGGGTAGCTTTAAGGATTTCATGCACAAGACAGGAAAAGCAGATGGGCACAGCTCTACTTTGGTTCCATCAAGCTGGAGGGAAAAGTCTGGATGGGATATTTGTTCACATTTCATTTCCTGTTCTTTTTGTTTTTTACCTTAGAAATATCAGGTACACCAGGAATTGTTTTTCTTGAGGCTTCTGGAAACATCCTTGGAAGACCAGAGAGCTGGAGTGGAAGTTCTCTTAGCCTTACCAACAGGAGTAGAGTGTGGGGCTTTCTCACCAAAAGCTTTCCTTCCAGCTGTGTTCCAGAAGTCTGACTTAGCTATGAATCAGAGTAACCCTTTTCCCCTTTCCTGCTTTCAAGGTAGCAGCTGTATGCAGTAAAGCAGTAGCTCTGAGAGCTGAGCTGGATTGAGAGGATCAGCTCAAAGTTACTGCCTTTCAAATTCTTCCCAGATCATGACTCCTCTGGAGCTCAGCTGCTCATTGCTTTCTGTGTAAGGCTGCCTATGACACATGGTGCAGACAAACAAGGCATTCCTGAGACAAGTCTAATCTAGGAGGCAGCATTTTACCAAATATTGTTATTTTAAGCTTTTTACTCAGTTAGGGCTCAAACTTTTGTCAGGTACTGCAAAACAGGATAGATGAGGCATTGGCAGAATACATGCAAATATCTGATGAGGATGAAATCTGACAGCCTGACACCGTCTCCCATTTTAGATCACTCCAGCTTCCTTTCCTTGGTCTTATAAGTCACAGTCTTTTATCTCAGAGAAAAGTCCTGAGCACAGCAGGACAGGCCTTACAGAAAAAGGCACAAAGAGAAAGAATCCCTGAGCTCATAGGAGATGCTGGGAAGCCCCAGGCCCCTGAGATCTTTTACTTCATGTCTGAAACAGAATTTGGGACTTTGCTTTCCTAAGAACAGGTAAGAGCCTGGGGGCACAGAAGCAAAAGCATGAGCACAGTGGAACAAGTAGACCTCACACTACTCCAGAGACCTTTGACACCCCTCCTCAAACTCCCTTTAGATGAAGGAAGGCAGGGTGTTTATGTATAGAACATTGGTTACACTTGGGATACTGCCTGTGCATGCCTTCCTGTAGCCACAGTCTGCAGACCACCTCCCAAGATCTTGTTTTCCTGGGGAGAACTGACCAGTAGCTGCAGCCAAGGATGTGTTCTAACAGGAAGGTCAGAGGAAATGAAATATTTATTAGATCCTTTCCTGAAACTTTTCCAAACCTCCCGGGCTAAGATGGAGTTTGGCATGTGGAACTCTGAGCCTTGTGCATGAGGTGCATGTGAACTCTTGAGCTGCAGAGTCCCAGCCCTGAGAGATGTGGCCATGGAGCTGGTGTTTTCTTTGGTCTGATTATTGTATTAGTGCTCATGATTCTCTCCATATCTCACTTATGTCTTCTTTTCTGTGTAACCTCAGTGCTGCTTGTCAGCTGCATTGTTATGGATGGGGGGAAAAAGACATGAGGAATGGAAAAGATAGTGGGATACCTCAAAATGAGGTGTTATATGAGCCATGGCTGCTTTTACAGGTGTTGGTGTGTCCAGTCCTTGTTACACCAGATCTGGAATCCCTAGATGTTCATATTCTCTAAATGTGAGCATCTGACAATAGCAAGGCTGATATCCCAGAGCCTATAGGACACTTGTTTTTACTCCCTGATCCCCTGTTTCTCCTGTACTTTCCTGTGCCTCTCAGGAAAAAAAATACTGTCAGTCCAAGCTCTGTTAGGAAAGAAGGGACTCTGAAGGTTTCTCTACATAACCTTCCTTATCAATTCTATAAAGAGTGCTGTAGAAATGTAGAAAACCCAAAAGGAGGAGGAAACCACCACTGCCCATGTGTGCAAAAGAGAGTGCTGAGATCTCCAGGCATGCACCAAGAGCTGATTTTTGACCATGGGATGAACAACTCCCAGCTCTCTACAAGTTTCTAGAAAAGAAACCAGCAGTGTAATCCAGTGATTAGGCTCAGTGAGCACTTATGGTATGCTGGCTTATTGAGGATTTATCCAGACAGCATGTGCTAAAGCTGGTGTGAAAGTGAGGGAGGCAGTCCTGACCATCGGCCTTGTGCTTCTGTCACAGGTATGCTCCAGTTGGGATAATGTTTTTAATTGCGGGCAAAATCCTGGAGATGGATGACCTAGCAGTGATGGGAGGCCAGCTGGGGATGTACACGCTCACTGTCATCGTTGGACTCCTTATTCACGCCCTTTGCATCCTGCCTCTGCTCTACTTCATTGTCACTCACCGAAACCCCTGGGTATTCATTGCAGGGCTCCTGCAGGCTCTCATCACAGCCCTGGGCACCTCCTCCAGGTATAGCTATGTAGGAGTGGGGTTTGGGCTGATGTAGATACTACATCTCAGCACTCCATTGCTCTCAATGCAGCTCTGTGGTCTCACAATTTCTAGCACTAGTGGCTTTTTGCAGTGGACCAGCCAAACTAATTTGGCAGTGGGAAGGTTCCCACTGCCCTGCTCAGGAGCCCTACTCATATGACCAGCTCTGAACATCAGTGAATGGCCCATATTCCTCCTGACCAAACATGAGGGTAACTTTGCTTACCACTGAAATGCGGAGCTCAGGACAAATACTCTGCTGAATCAAAGCATTATTCCACATGCACATACCTCTCACACACATGTACTTGCACACATTTTCACGTCCATCTCTCACAAACAAAAAGACTGTATGCAGCTGTCATTAAATTTTCCAGAGACCTGGGCAAAAGCATCAACACCAGTATGTTCAATGACTCACACTGCCATGTCAGACAGCCAAAGCAACGGATGGTAGGTAACTGTTGTTTCACTAAGTGCTATGTTTCTTGTTATAGTGGTGTCCTGGCAAGCACATAGCTGGCTCTTCCACATACATTCTCATAGGAAAACTCATAGTATTTTTCCTGCTCATTTTCTCTCTCAGAAAGGGTTCTTTGCTTTCTCTGCAAGATATATTCTCAAACATGTGTCATTCTTGTCTTATGGACTGGGAGGGATGAGAAAGGGCTCAAGTTTTTTTAATAGCAGAAAAAGGAGTTCTGGCCTTGAGACTCTGCCCTATGTACCCTTAATCCTCCTTCTTTTGGTGTTATACCAGCATCATCAGCCTCAGGGTTATACAACCCCTGTCCCAACCCCCTGAGAAAAGCCATGTCAGAATGTTCAACTTCAGCATGCATCATTTCTGAGGAAGCCTTGCTTAGACTGTTCTTTTTTCTAGCAGCTTCTGGCCTCTGGTTCACATGGCAGGGTGAAAAAGCAGGCGGGTAAGGTCATAAACCAGACAGAGGCTTAGTCCTTCTTCCAAAGTCAGCATAAATGCAATTCATGTGGTTTTGTATATTCCTTTCAGCTCAGCGACTCTGCCCATAACCTTCAGGTGCCTGGAAGAAAACAATGGTGTGGACAGGCGCATCACAAGGTTTGTGCTGCCTGTGGGAGCCACAATTAACATGGACGGCACTGCTTTGTACGAGGCCCTTGCAGCCATCTTCATTGCACAAGTCAACAACTATGAACTTGACTTTGGGCAAATCATCACAATAAGGTGACTTTTAAAAGAGTTTTGGGACTACAGAAAGGGTTTCAGTTTTACTGGCTTGTCTGATGTATGGTCAGGTTCCTCTTTTGCTCAGAAGAGACAATAAGGAAAAAAAAGTATGGGAAAGAAGGGCTGTACTACAGATCCAGGTGTCAAAGAACATGTAGGCATCATGTCTTTGAGGTGCCACTTGAGCCCATGTCCAGGTCTTAGGAAAAGCTGTGGTATGCAGTCTGTTATGAGGAGGTGTCTGGCAGGGGCAGCCTGGCATTGTGTTGATGTCCCATGTATCACTATCCTTCATGGCAACCAGGGCAGAAAAGCAGCCAAGACGATGATGAGTTTGAGCTACTTCCTGACATTTCTGCAAATACGACCAGCTGTTTTCTTCCCTTTGCTGATAGCCTTGCTTTCCTGTTCTCTCCAGCATCACTGCCACAGCAGCCAGCATTGGAGCCGCAGGTATTCCCCAGGCAGGACTGGTGACAATGGTGATAGTGCTGACATCAGTGGGGCTGCCTACTGAAGACATTACACTGATCATCGCTGTGGACTGGTTTCTGTAAGTTCCTTGCCCAGCAGGCATGCACTTCTGTGCATTCCTGCCAGTGTTGACAGATTACATCTGCTAAAAACATGCTCACTAACCTGTACCATTAAGCTTAAAACACACGTGTATCCCTGAGACCTTTGCACAGTAGCCCTCTCTGCCCATGCTGGAGTCTTCACCATGTGCTTCAGTGACTCAAGGCATCAGAAGTCACTTGCTGGTCAGCCTGGTGACCAAACAGAATGTCCTCCATTTGTTTTATTTAAAATGCATCCAGAAATTATCTGCAGAGTCATAGGGAAAATTTGTGCCAATAATAAGAAAATCCACACTACAGAATGATAGTTCTGGGTTACCAAACACTGAAAGAGGGATGAGACGGGGCTGTACAAAGTTAAAGAGTGTTTACATGCGTGCAGCTAGTCAGCCATGTTTCATCTGCTACATTTCAGTTTTCTTTTCCTTTTACATAAAATCACTTGGGACAAGTGATATTATAGAAGTGCTCTCAGAAGCCATATTGAAGAATGCATTTGTGCACAGTCCCACCTCTGTCTTCTCAAATACCAAAATCCTGACATATGGATACATATGTCATTGTTCTCCTCTGTTCTTCTCTGTCTTGTATTGTTGGTTTGTAGCCAGAGCAGCCAAACTCTGCTCCCAGCCATGGCTGACCAGTTGGAAACAGTTTTGCAGAACACCTTCATTTCTCCTGTGGATTGTGAATAAAACCAGACTTGTCTGGGAAGAGCCCTGCCTCCTAATAAGCCAGGTTACTTCTCGTGCTTACTCAGAGTAGATTATTTCAATCAGGTTCCACTATTACCACTGAAGGATCTGATGGGACGCTGGACTGGTGACAGCTTCAGCAGCTCTGACATATTGTTGTGGTTGTGGAGAATATCTCATTGCAAAGGGTCTTTTAGATGTGCTATTTTGCACAAAGAATCTGGTACCTTGTCTTACTGCACACTGTCCATGTTAAGGAAATCGGTGTCCACAGCAGTGCTGTTACAGGATTGCACCAGAATTTCAGCACTTTTTATAGAACAAAATGCAACTTAAGTGAAACAGATGTGTTGAAGCCATCTGAGTCTGCAGCAAGGCTTTTGGAAAAGACAGTGTCCATGTATAAACACAGCAACCTTCATCTTCATTTGTGTCAAGTCCAAAACTTTTCAGTAAGAAATTGAGAATGCAATAAAACAGGAATGAATGTGAAGCTTGAGCTCAAGATGTCAATCAAGGAAGGTTCTTTGGGAGTAATTTTCCTGTCAGGCTTGAAGTATCCATTATTAGAATGACTTAGAAAGTAAAAAAAGTTTCACTGAAGATGTTTCTTGAAATAATCTTTATCCCCTTAGCTGCTCCTATGAAACTCTATTTTGTTTTTTTCTCTGATTTTTCAGGGACCGCCTTAGAACAACTACGAATGTCCTGGGGGATTCCCTGGGGGCTGGCATTGTGGAGCATCTCTCCCGGCATGAGCTGGATGCACAAGACTGCGAACTTGGTAATTCCAGAATAGAGGAGAAAAACCAGCTCTCCCACCTAGTTTGCCCACAGAATGACACCCACAGGCACTCCAGGAGGGAGACAGCACTGTGAAATTGGGCATCAGAGTGCAGATTAATGCTGTAAAAAGTGAAAACTTGAAACAGAAGTCCAGAGAAAGATCCACTGTGCAAGACACTCACTTTTCTATCACCTCTGTCACATGCAGTCTTCCCTAATCCCGTTGCTCCCTTATTTCTCTCTAACTGGCATTAAAGAGGAGAAAATTAAAGTGCAAAGAAAGCCTGATTTAGTCATTCTTATGAAGCCAAATAGTTAGGCCTGAGTAAGGAAGACCTAGTGAAAGAGCTGGACTAGCAGCTCCTTTATTTCTGAAATAAGTAGCCAGGTGAGTTGGGAACACCACCATCTGTGGACTGGCACCAAAATGTTGCTGTAATTCTGTCCTGGAAGATACAGCTGCAAAGTCTTCACTTGGTTACTACCTTCACCCAAACAAAATGTTAGCATTTACCTCCTTGCTCACAGTCCTGGTGTTTGCACAGATATGCACTTGATGCTTCCTGAGAACTCCACTGGCAACCTGTTTGGTTGCAGATACTAGAGTCACCCACTTCCTGAAGGAATGTGGGATCATATAGCAGGGACAGCTGGCTGGTAGCACCAATAGGGATCAATAGGATTCTCATTAGTGGAAGATCCTAAAGGATTGTGAAAGAAGCAAACAGTTAAAAAATGTGTTATATCCATTATTCAGTCTTGAAACAGCTCTCCCCTCTACCAAGGTCTGCCAAAACCCAATAAACTTCATTTCTCTTTAGCAAGCTGTTCTCATCCTGCTGAAACCAGGAGGGGAAACACAAAGTTTAAGAACAATTTGCCCATCTGAGCAGCTGGGTGATACATCCATGCCAGGAATGACTCCCTTCCATGCAAGATTTGCTCAGAAAACAGTTTTACTCCTCATCACAGTATTTCTAAGGAAATGTTTCCTGTGCTCATCTCTGCCTATTTTCAGAAGTGACTTCCCCTCAGTCACATTGCTCTAAAATATGCTTTCAAACATTTCTGTCTTTCTAAACATCCTTATCTTTTGTAGGCAGAGACAAATCACATCTTAAAGATTGCACAGGTTTGCCAGATCCCAGACTTAAAAATTCAGGATATATTTTTCAATTCCTACCAAATGGAATTCAGCTTCTGTTTAACACACTTGGACATAAACTCAAATTACATCCATAACATCTCGGAGTCTAAAGATAGAAGTAGGGACCTGCTTCATCCATGCTTTCTCCCCCTTCCCTGGCATGGCCAGGAATATAGCTGGTATCTCTCACACCAGTGAAGAGGACTACCAGGACTTGTTCATAACATCCAGGTCCATGAATATCCAGAAAAATGAATGTCTATAATTGTCTTGGTTTGACAAGACAGGACAATAATTTAACCAGGAAGGTGTTAATTATCCACAGTGCTGGGGCTGCTGCATTGTACCTGTCCTGCTTGTAACAATGGCTAAGAGCAGGAATAGCAGTGAGCAGCCTCCTGACCCACCAAGGTACTATCTAAACTGGCCAGTTTAATTTGAGATCTGCTTATTATTCCCAACCTACTATGTCACTTACACCCCTCTACCTTGGCTTTACACATTGATGTTTTTCATCCCTAGCCATATCCATACACTCAGAGGTGCACATCATGGAAGGAAGACCTCAGCGTCATTGCTGGAGTCAACTTTGCCAATCACAACCGCATAGCTGCCCATGCTGCCCTCCCCAGCACTAACAAAGCTTCCTCAAGCACATTTCTTGAGATGTTCAAAGCCAGATCATGAGGGTCTTTTTAGTTTTTCAGAAACTGCAGGGTTATATATTGGTGCTGCTACATTCTACATCCTGTAGGCAGAGTATTCTATTTTTATGGGCTGGACAATTATTTGGAACCTGAGATAAATGCACAAATGCATCCTTTTCCTGTATGACAGGTTGCACAACAGGGTAACTAGAAGTGTTTGGTAGTTCTGTTTAGTAGTGGCTTACTCCAGATTGTAAGGCAGCAGCAAGTTGCTGTCTGTGGAAGGCAGGTTGCTTATTTTGACAAGAGATCTATTCTAGCAGGAGGAGAGTGAGCTGGATAACAAATGATCCTTCTCTTTGTAACACTTTTTTAATCTTGTTTGAATACTTTTATAATGTCTACTCTTCTCCTTTCTAGACTAAACAGATCCCGTATATACCACAGGTAATAATCATTCATGTTCTTCTCCTCTGGACATTCTCCTTGCTGTTCCACATCTTTTTTGAAGTGGAATGACTAAAATTTGACACAACAATCCAACTAAAGATTTATTATTACTGAGCACTGAGAAAAGAATATTTCCTGTACATTAAGATTTAGATCTTGGACTCACGTTACCATGGTTGTTAGCAGGCTATGCATCAGCTGATCAGGATAACTGTCCCGGATGCATACATAGAAAGAAACTCAAGTCTGTTCATCCTATCCTCACTCTTAGCAAGGTTAGACGTTTACTTTGATGAGATGGCTCTATCTGAGGACTGAATCTTAATCAAAGAGTTTTCAGATATACTGCATCAGCTTGTATCTATAATGAGCTAAGACAGCACTAGCTTATCAATAACACTGCTCAGTTGATGAGTCTAAACCTTCATAAAGAAGAGATCTGCTTATAAAACCCAATGAAGTACTTTATTTTTTAACAACAGCATGATAGCATTGACCCTAGTCCAGTGGTAATACATGATAATTCCCACATCATATTAAGCAGGACTGCTGCATATCAAGCAATTTCCCAGCTTGTGTTTGTAGTTAATTATTACTATTGAAGTATAGTAATTTCAAGGTGTCCATATTTAACTGCTTCTTGGTTTTCTTTTTTTTTTTTTCAGACTACTTGTCCAACTTTTCAAGAAAACATTGAATTCTAATCCTGAAGTGACTTCCTGTATAAAAAGGGCAAACTGAAGGATGAATCAGAAGATTGTTGGATTGGATTCTAGCTCAAATGGGAATTAATTCTGGGAAGTCCTATGGCTTGGGTTACACAGACTATATGGTCATAAGGGTCCCTTCTGGCTTTATAATATATGCATGTGCTTTCTGGCTTAGAGATATTGCAAAGGGTCTTTCCAACCCAATAATTTCTAAAGGCTACCTGAAAGGGTTCTAATGATACTTTAATAAAATTCAGCAGGAGTCTAACCTGTTTTCAGTTCTTGTTAGCAGACATGTACACATATCACAAAAGGGACTCTCCATATCACATTGCATCCACATGTTCACAGACGTTCCCACAAAGCGGTATGCACCACGCCTTGCCATATGTGATTTCCTGCTTTCCACACAAGATTAACAGAGCACAAACAAGTAGATGCCTCATTTTCCAACAATGCAAACCAGTATTCCTTTGGGAATTTCAGAATTCACTTTATAGCTTTTAGCTCTGGTGTTTACCCATGTTGTTAACCAGATTATGATTGAGATTGTCTGTTTACAGTCCCCGAACATCAAAATATTATCAGAAATTTGCATATACTTACATATATATCTATACATATATATGAAAGAGGTGCATGTGTGCAATCATATGTGTTGTTGTGTGTTTTGCTTTGAATCCATGTTTGCCCCCTGTTTTCCTCCCTAATCCCCTCCCTTTACCAGTTGCCAATTTTCCCAAGCCCTTCCCTAACCTCCTCCCTTCCAAGTTGTCAATCCTCCCTATCCCTACCCCTCTTCTCCAGAGTTCTGTGTCTGTTTTGTTGCCCTCGGCACCCCGTTTGTTACTGTGTATTTGCCCCACCTTATACTTCTGTTCACCCCCGCCCCAGTCTTGTCTGGGGGCCCAGGAATAAATCCATCTTGTCCCACCCCAAGCCCGGTGCCATCGCTGTCTGTCCCTGCTGATAACTGGGATTGCAGAGCTCACAGGGAACAGTCGTGCCCCCGCCGCAGCCACCCTGCAAGGTGCGTGCTGCAGCACATATGTATACATAGAGTTAAATGGAAAGCCAATATTACAGTCTCACTGTAATGTGAAAAGCTGCATATTTCATTTTGGTGCCCACCTTGATTTACTCATTTAACCCCGTACATTAAAAAACACCCTAAGGTTGCTCTACTTCATTCCAGAAATTAGTCTTTCAAAGCCAGATTTCCCAGAAAGGAGCTCAATGCATGCCAATTTAGACTTGCACCTTCTGGTGATGAAATGAGAACTTCTTGATGTATAAAAAAACTCTGCACTGTGTCCTTGTCTGTACATGTCCCAAAGACCCCCATCCACACTGCATCAGTCTTGGCAAAGGCCAAGCTTTCAGAGCTCAGTCAAGAATACTAAAGTATTTGTACTTCTTCCAAATCCAGTGCTGACCTTGTACTAACTCAGCCTTGAAAACTGGATAATTGAAAAGTTTTTTATAATTTTATCCACTGTCTTTTAAAATTACCAGATACTTGTGAGCTTATGCAGTCTTTACTGAAGTCCTGCTGCTTCTACTTGCAGGAACTTTCCAAGTTTCTCCTATTTGCAAACAAATCTCTTCCTAATGGTTGGAGATGGAATGAAACAGAGAGCTATCAATGCTAAATACACAAGTAGCTCATGAATAAGGACATACCTCTTCAATACTAATTTGAAGATAGAAAGTCCAGGAAGAATATGGATTTTCAGTTAGGCCGCATGCCACTTTATGTATGTTGCACATTGTTCCAGGAGTCAGAGCTGCCCATGAAAACTGTCTTTCTGCTCTGCCCAAAGAAGAACTGGAAATCAGTACTGTACAGTATGTTCATGGCATTTGTGCAATTTGACCCTGTTAATTCCTGAGGGCTTTTTCTTCATGCTGTTATTTGCAGTCTTAATACAGATAGTTTCCATATTTGAAAAATAAAGGGAATTTTTTCCACAATACTTTTCCATTATGTTTTTTGTATTATTTTTCCTCAGTACTGTGACCTTCCAAAGTCAGAGACATGACTTTTCACATTATGTATTATACTTTCTTATCTCCATGTGCCTACCTCATGGGTGAAATACCAATCTCAGATTTTGACAAGGCCTTTCCCCAAAGATTCTTCTTTGATGCCATCTTTGGCATATGTCCATAAACTGACAAAGCTACATGAGGTTTGCTTCATCTGCACCAGACAGCACATAGGCACATACTTCCATCTGGAAAATCCACCCCCAAAAAAGGTTATGTGGAAGAGGTCTCAGAGGCTTAAACAATAATGGGTTTACATTACTTGCTAAAATGTTGCATTAATGGCAAGGTGTCTGCAGAAAGTGAAAGCTGTTCTCCCCTTGATACCCCTTTTTCTTCTGTTCCCTAAGGGACAAGAATCAAGCTGAATAACAGGGATGCTGGGGAAAGAGCATCCCTAGTCCCCCAGCACCCAAGAAAGGCAACAGCACAGACTCGGAAGTCAGATCATAAGACAAAAACAAGTTATGAGCAGGTCTGAGGTGTGGGTCCCAAGGAAGGCTGCCCAGGGCCATTAGGGTCTAATAGTCTACTTGGGGTACATCTGCAATCTAGCCCACCCCTCCTGCCCCCCCAGCCATGCAGACTCCTGTGTGGTAGCAGCAGTTTGGCTGAGGGGCCTCTGAAGATCCCCAGTCAAATCCCTCTGCTCAGAACAGAATAACTTGCGCAGGCTGCTCAGGACTTTGTGTGATTGGATTTTGAACATCTCCAAGGAGGCATGTTCCACACACTGTTCCAGCACTCAATCACTCCCATTGTAAAAATGCTTTTCTTAGTTTAAATAGAATTTCTTGTCTTTGAATGTGTGTCCATTGCCTATTGTCTTTTCACCAAATACCACTGAGACAAGTCTCAAGGCTCCTTTGAATCTTTAAATTTAATTTAATCTTTGAACAGTGTTATATGTAGTAGATATATTTCGTGCCATTTCTGATATGATATATGTGATATTGAGTATTTGTTAGAGTATACACGTTTGTATTAGGATTCCCTCCACCCTCTCAAGCGAGCCTGGGTGTATATTAGAAACTGGTTTACAAGTAAGAAGGTACGCTCGCCAGAAGATGGGCCATGGCGGGGGGAACCCCAGGTGCTGATCGTTCACAAACGACCCAAGATGGATATCATGGAAATCCTTGGGCAGATACATGTGAATGCAGAGTTCCCGAATTCCCATAAATTTCATCAAGGGATTCAACAAAAGAAAATCTCATTAACCTATGGACTCTGAATAGAAAAAAAGACTGATTGTTGAAATCTTGGCCTCAGACAGAATTTTCCCTATAAAAACCGCTTGTGCCAGGATGGAGGTGTGTGGGCATAGAGGAAGCCTCTGCTGAGGCTGACTTCTTTGATGCACACCCAGTGCCGACCCCGGGCTCAGCTCTGTTCTTTCCTTGTGGCTGGCTAGATAGAATTTGATTGCAAAAGAAATATTTTATTTTTTCATATTACTTTTGCTGGACAAATTTTCAGTTATAACAGGATGGAAGTATGGGCTGACAGGAACATCCTGAAATTCAATGAAAAAAACTGCAATGTCCTGCACCTGAGGAGAAATAACCTCATGCACCAGGACACACGAGGGGCCAAATTTCTGAAGAGCAGCTCTGTGGGGAAGGACCTGAGGGCTCTGCTGGACCCTGAGCTGAACCCGAGACACTGCGGTGCCCCTGCCTGTCCTGGCCCGGCGAGGTTCAGGAACGGGAGCCTTGCCTCAGCACTGCAGAGGCCACGGCTGGCGAGCTGCATCCAGCTGTGGGCTCTCCACTACAAGCGCCCACGGATACACCATGAAGAGTCCGGAGAAGAACTGCAGAGATGATGGAGGGACTGGGCATCTCCCCTGAGGAAAGGCTGAGGGAGCTGGCACTGCAGCCTGCTGAAGGAAGGCTCGGGGGTGTCATAAATGTAGAGCAATACCTACTTAGGGGAGGTGTGAAGACAGAGCCAGGCTCTTCTCAGTAGTGCCTGGTGACAGGACAAGAAGCAATAGGCACAAAACGAAACACGGTGGGGGGAGGGGGCTCCCTCGGAATCTCAGGAAATACTTTTTTACACAGAAGCTGCCGGAGCAGTGGCACAGGGTCATTAGGCAAATTATAGAGTCTCCATTTTTGGGCAGCCAAATTATAGAGTCTCCATTTTTGGGCAGCCGACTGCAGGGAACCGAGGAGGAAAGGGAAGACCGGGCAGTGGCCAAAGCCACGCTCGTGCCGACCGCGCTCGGCCGGGGCCGGGACCCGGGCTCGAACTCGCGCTCCCGGCGGGCTCGGACGTGCGCGCCGCCACGCGACCCCGCGCGGGCGGGGCGGGCGCTGCTGGGAGGGCGGAAGTGAGGCGCGCGCGCCGGCAGCATGGCGGCCGCGCGCTGGTGGCGGCTGTGCGGGCGCTGGCGGCCTGCGGTCACCGGGCCCGCCCTGGGGCCCACGCGGCGCCGCCTCTGGGCCCCCGCCGCTGCCGTCCCGGCCCCGCCGGGCTCCGTGCCGCCGCCCCGCGCCACCTTCAGCGCCGGCCCACGCTGGCACCAGCGCAGCCCCGGTGGTCTGCCTGGGGGCGACGCACTGGAAGGCGGCGGCGGCGGTGAGGACAGCGGCGGTGGCGGGGCGGACAGTGGCGGGGCCGGGCCCGGGCCCGTCATAACGGCCTTGACGCCACTGCTCGTCCCGGAGCATTTCCCTAACGTCCCGCTCATCGCCGTGACACGCAACCCTGTATTCCCGCGCTTCATCAAGATCATCGAGGTGAGCTGCCGCCGAGCCCTCGGTCCCGGGGCCGGGGCTCGGCTCTGCCGGCCCGGCCTGGGCGGAAGCTGCCGCGAGGTGCCGGAGCCTCGGCGGGAGGTGCTCTGGGCTGGCTCGCAGAGCGGCCGGAGGCGGCTCAGCCCGGCGTTGCGGCCTCAGGCGGGAGTGCCGGGGTGGTATCACCCCAGGCCGTGCGGGGGTCACCGACTGACCCCGCCGCTGGCGATGCCGCCTCTCCTGGCCGCTCTCTTTGCCTGGGCGCCTCCCTTGAACTGCAGAGCAGGGCAGCAGCAGCGTGACCTCCACGGGCAGCCGCTGCTCGGCCTTTATCTCGAGCTTTGTAACCCAGTCCTGTCGGGATAACGATTTCTTTTGGGCCAGTTGAAGTTTCACTGTAATTGCGTCAGCAGTTCTGCTTCTAACAGAGAAGGTCGGCGATTCACACATACTCTCTCGAAGTTCACTGTCATTTTTGTGTTCTCTGATGAAGGTTAAACAAACGTGTCCTTGTTTCGGCGCCGTAGGCTGGTGTCAGAGCACCGAGACCCGTGCTGGTGAAGGCAGCAAGCTGTGAGCTGCAAGAAAAAGGCAGGAATACGGTGTAGAGCAGTATAGCTGCGGTGGGAGAGGGTGTTGAGGGATGGGGATGGCAGTCGCCATTTCCGAGTGTGATCTTAATAGTTATGAATTATATCAGTGATGTGTTTCTTGAGCTTACAGGCCAGAAATACTTCTTCCTTCTTAAATGAAGCCCAATCTGTAAAAAGTACTTGTATTTTTGTGCCTCTCTGGTGTGTTGCCAGTCTGATTTTGAAGTAAATGTAGTATGAAATAAATCAATATTTTCTTGTTCCTGTAGTATTATTTAGCATAATGTTATTTCTACTGTAGTATTTTTCTGCGTGTCAGATTCTAATATGTGCATCTTCTAGCATCTTTACAAATGTGTCAGGGGAAGGAGAAGGTTATATGTTATTAAGAGCATGCAGTCATATAACAGTTATGTACAGAAGTTATCAATTTCAATGCTTAGGTCAACAATGTCTCACAGAATTGTTAAATGTTTTCTCTTATCCTGTGAATTCATTGTGCTGCAATTTACCTGACAAGGTCGAGTCTCTACAGTGCCTATGAAATTACTGATTTTCTTCCTGTTAATGTCTCTAACATTGGTAAGCATATTTTGCTAAATAAAATTGCACAAAATTGGAATAGGTATGCTAAGATTAGAATAGGCCAACAGTGGTGGTATTACTCGTGCTATTCTGTCAGAACCATGCTGATTGTTAGCAAAGAATTGAGCAATGCAGCTTATGTCCATCACTTTGAAGAGCACTCAGTGGCTGGCAGGGTGACTTCATGCGAACAGCAGAATTCACAAGCAGTTATTTTCTTGGTCACTGAGGATTCAGCCTGCTGTGATTAACAGTTCCAGTGGTGCTGGGAGATCTGCCAGGGACAGGTGTGTGGCATCTAGAGATCAGAGGGAAGTAAGAAAGTAAACTAGGAAGAAATAGTGGCTGAAACTCAAAGCAGGAACTCAAGACTCATGGGTGTAGGAGAGGAATTGAGCAGAGAAGGCTTTGGAGAAGAGCATTTTAACTAGGGTTTTGTGGCAGAATTCAGGTAACTGATAGGGAAGGGTGAACTAACTCCCCATCAGGAGCAGAAAGCTAGGATGCACAGGTATGGAAGGGGAAGGGAACAGTGATAGCAACAGAAAGATATAACATAAGATACTGTTAAGTAACTTACAAGCTTTTTTGCTTGTAAGACTTGTACAGGTCTTAGTTCCTCCCCCATCCTTTGAGCTTGTCTTATCTCGACTGGGAAGTGACTTGTTCAAAATACTTAAATTTCATGTTTCTTTACCTTTTTTTCCACTTCAATATTACTGTCCTCTAATGGAGACAAGACTAGAACTGTACAAGCTCCAACTTCATAATTTAGTTGTAGGGTGTCATCATGCCTGGCCTTACACCTTGGGAGTGCAAAGATTACAGAAAATCCACCTCTGATTGCATACCTGTTGTCCTAGGTGAAAAATAAGAAGCTGGTTGAACTGCTGAGGAGGAAAGTTCGTCTTGCCCAGCCTTATGCTGGTGTTTTTCTTAAAAAGGATGACAAGTAAGTTGTTTCTCTTGATCGTTTTAAAAAATACAAAAATAAGCTGTCCAGGT